CTTAAGGACTATATTACTAACCCTAATACCTATATTAGTACTAATTGTACTATAACTAAGTCTAAAGAAGATAAATCTAAAGAGGAGACTAAGGTTAAGGAGGAAAAAGAGAGTAATAAGAATAGTAAGTATTTAATTTAATAATAATTAGATTCCCTCTTCTATATATATTAATAATATAGTTAAGGCTACTTATTTTAATAAGCTTAAGAGCCTTCTTAATAAGTATCGGTCTATCTTAATCATTAATATCAACGATATTAGTACTGGTTCTACTATAACTAAGTCTAAGAAAGATAAGCTAGAGAGGAGGAAGAAGAGAGTAATAAGGGTAGTAAGTATTTAATCTAATAATAGTTAGATTTTCTATTTTATATATATTAATAATATTTACTAATAGTAAAAATATAAAATTTATACTATTCTATATAGAATTCTATATTTTAAATATAAATCTAACTATTATAAAATTAGTTTCTATAGATAAGATTTTATTAACTATATTTAAACTAATTTATACCCCTTTTTAGTAAGTAAGGGGGGGGTTAGGGGCTAAATTTTTAAAAATCTTCCCCCAAGAGGGGGGGTCGGGGGCATTAACACCCCCCTTTAGGGGGCTAAGGGGAGGGGGATAAAAGCTCTCCCCCCACCCTATTGGGGTGGGGGCACAAGCCTATGATTGACAATAATCGAGTCTCTGAAACAATTCACAATAGGTATTAAGCAGAGTCAACTTTCCATCATTTCAACGCCTTGTTCGAAACCTCTTCATCGTTCATTGAGCTCAATGGATGTTGGTAGAAACGGTCTCTGTGTCTCCCCGGCCCCGGCCCCTCTCCTTCCCGACTGGTCGATACTAAGTTCGGCTGGAATTAGCCACATTAGGTAACTGTCACGTGAGAGGCATGAGCCTCCTTGCGCAAACGAACTTCCAAGCACCAACGCCAACTTTCGGAGCAAAATCGAGCAGCTCTCACGGCTTTATTCTGTCTCCATTGCACTTACGGTCAAGTTACAGTCTCTAAATTCTTAGCAAGGCTGTCATCAGCTGACGCAACGACGATGTCCATTCCAAATGAAACTCTCCAGAAGGTAAGGAAGGAAGGAAAGATGGCTCACCCCTCGTTTTGCACCAAGCGAAGTAAAGAACACTAACTAACTGTATGGCCGTTTTCCACGAAACAGCTTGTACAGGAGATCGAATCACAGGCTGTTGCCGCCCAGCAACAGATCAACGTCGTCAGGACTCAGATAACTGCGAAGCAGCGGGAAATGCGCCTATTAGAGCTTACTTCCGGCGAGATTGGCCAAGTCCCAAAGGACACAAACGTATATGAAGGCGTAGGCAAAATGTGCGTATAACCACAAGATTTCTGGATGGAACAAATGACTTCTTTAAAATAACTGTAGTCTAACCCCTTTGTGTGTTGCATCTTGCAGGTTCGTTGCCACGCCGATAGATAAGGTGAACACAAGACTATCAAGGGAGACGAAAGAGTTAAAAACAGAGATTACAACTCTCGAAAAGAGGCTACACTACTTGGAGACGACGCATAAAAACAGTCGCGAACATATAGAACAGATGCTGCGGAGTGGCGGAAGGTCATAGTATGGATTCAAGCGCCTTTATTCTTGGACAGTTATTCAGGCACGGCCATCGGTAAAGGGTGGGCCTCTCTACCTTGGTTGCTGCGGCCTGACTACTGCAATAATAGGTGAAAAGCCACCATGATATTTCATGCGGAACGAATGGCTCATGACAAGTATATGGCAACAAGCTGGTTTACGCAAGAAAGCTTCATACTAGTAGTTGGGTGTATTCCCTCAACTGGGAACTCAACATCAAAGGCAGACGAGCAGACGAGCGGACGAAGCAGCACTTCAGCCAGAGCTATGGAGACACTGCACAGTATCAAGACGATACGCCAAGCCACAGAATTCGCAGGGTTATTTGTCCCATTCAGAATACGACTAAAAGCGCTCTCTCCATTGAAAATAATAGTCGACATGATGCAGCTGTCCAGTCCAAATGATTAAAGTGCTGTTAGCCTTTTTAGGGAACCATGGAACCATCCTGTAATTGATCGGTTGTTTTAATCTTGAGTCTATTCATGGGTACGGAGGAGTATGAAGCATCCTAGGCATGTTTTGAGTATATAAGAGAGTCACTGCAAAGGGGAATACAGGCAAACGCAAGGACGGCATGATCCAGCCAGTGAGTGAGTAAAAATGTTCGAGAAACGACCGCCGACTGCCTGTCTGTCGGCCTTCAGACGTGCATGCCCAACGTCCGGATGGCTGGGTGGCTGGGTGGCCCATACATGCCCCATACTTGGGCTTCCCTTTCTCCCGTGACGGGGCCGCGGCGTTTTACTAGCCGCCCTGCTGGGCAGACACAACATCCAGAGGCGTGACAAGGGTGCATGCCGTCGCATGACAAAACCTGATTCTACTCCCCTTCGCCAGGGAGCCCCAACGCCTGCGTACATATCTCGGCGGCATCGACAAGACGAGGAAAACCACTGAGCTTTGAGCCTTGAGAACGCTCGACGCCGTCCTGAAACCTGAAGCTGGAGCCTTGCGCTGTCCCCAGGCGCCAACAGACTCCTTGATTGCTGCCCTATCAGAGGAGCCCCTCATTCTCGCTTGCGGCTCTGGCGCCCACCTTTTCCGAGCCGGACGTATTTATTTCAACGTCACGACACTCTTCCACAGGCTTCCCAACCACCTTTTCTCATCCAACTATCGAATATCGAGAGCCCCTCGATCCTGACTTATCGTCAGTTTATCCTTAAATAATCTGGGTCAAACATCACTGTTACCGGAAGTACCAGAACTTCTTGTTCCCTCCCTCGAGTTGCGTACGCCATCCACAAACGAAACCGAGGGAACGTTTCTTATCCAGGCAACATAACGCCTACGAAGCTGCCTTGGAGCCCAGTGCAGCACAGCCATTTGGCTAACAACGCCAGCGTCACCATATATACCTTTTTACTAAACTCGTGCAAATTCGAGAGTCATGTATCGGAAATACTACCGCCACGCAGACTCGGATACCGATTCGGAAGAGGAGTTCTATCACCGTATCCACCGTCGACCCCGTGAAAAGGTTGTCGTTGAAGAGAAAAGGCGGCCGCGTTCTGCATCTGTCGCCAATCCATACCGTGGGGGCGATGCTCAGATATACATTGATATCAAGAATGACCTGCAAGAAAACACTAAGCTAGCCCCCCCACAGGTGCCAGTCGGTCGGGCAAGATCTGCTTCCCAGCGACGGCCTGTATTGGCTGATGCACTGAGTGACCTAGAGGATGACATTATTCGTCATGAGCGCAGGGCTATTCGCCGACTGGAACGCGAAGAACCATCTCGAAGAGCCGAAATCGAAGCTGAGATTCGCCTGGAGAGAATCAGACAGCGAGAACGGGAACTAGATGAAATGAGAAAGGAAGAGGATCGCATGCGTCGTGAAGACCGCATCCGTCGCGAGGAACGTGAACGCATTGAGGCGAGCAAGGGCAGTGGAAACGCTTCTGCTCAGCCTCAGCCACAGACTCAGCCACAGCCTCGACAAGAGACCGAACTGGAACGAGAGATTCGTATTGCCAAAGAAGAGGAAATCCGGAGTCTAAGGCGATGGCGGAAATTGCAGGAATATATGGAGATGCAAGAGATGGGACGGTTAGAGAAACGGCCTGAGCGTGATGATCACCCCTTGACCCGACGAGATATTGAAAAAGAGATACAATTTGAAAGGCTCAAGAAAATGGAAAGTGATGAGCTTGCCAGGCGAAAAAATGGAAGATGCTCTCCTTATTGAGCGAATGAAAGTCCTGGAAAAGGAGCGTGAGGAAAAGGAGCGCGAGAGGAAAATTCGAGAGAAAGTACAGGCTGAAATTGCCCAGAAGGAGAAGGACGAAATGGAGCGATTGCAGAAGGAGGCCAAACTAAAAGCCAGTGCCATTGAGGAGTACAAGAAGAAGGAGGCTGAGAGGTTGGCGAAGCAAAAAGAAGAAGCAGAGAAGGCCAAGAAGGAATTCAACGACAAGGTAAACCAGTTGTTAGGCAGTGCTGGTTTCTCCGAGGACAAGATTACTGCCATCATGCAAGGCAAGTCACTCAAGGAAATGGAGCTTGTCCATGTTGAAAAACATGTCCACCACGGAAAGCACAGGCAAATAGAAGACGAAGAGGCATTTGTTAAGGTATGTTTTAGCTATCTGGCTTATATTGTTACCCTAAGCTTCGTAGATACGGTATTTGAAACACTGGTTCAACTAACGACTTCTGCCTTTTAGGTTCATCGCCGCTATCTCGAACCTCGAACTCTTGATGCGTTTAGTCTGATTTGGGAATTTGATCCTGTAAGTGTTGTCTCTACCGATTACTGTGTGAGAACCTAAGAATTCCTCGCTAACTAGTATGACTGAATTATAGAACGATGCAGATTACATGCTTATCTACCATTCTCTCAGTCAAGAGGAGCAGGACAGACTCTTTGACCATACCCGCAAATTACGTGGACAGCGTACTCTGACTGCTTCTCCTCACAACGGTCCTGTAACCGTTGAAATGAAGGTCAATGACAAGAAGAGAGATGGCTTATACCTTGTTAGGAAGAAACAGGACCGGAGGAGCCTATTTTGGTAGACGGATTGGTGGTATATGGGTTTCTTTATATTTTCTTTGTACGGGTTTACGTCTATTTCATATTCTACTCACTTCCCTTCTATCTTCTATATGTTTATTGTCCGATTAATGTGGACACTTTCTTCTATTTGTCTTTCATTTGAATGATTATGACTCTTACAATATAATCTCATGTTTACAGATCAACAGAAAAGTACATAGAGTATATTGAACTGACCTCTATTCCAAGATTCTCGCAACGAGCACAAACGGGATTTAATTATCATTGGCTACTTGTGTTTAATATAGCTGTGTTTAACTGGCCAGTCAAGGTTCGCTTAAACTCCTCGAACAAAATCAAACAAATAAAATATCGTTTTTATAGTTAGACTAACGCTGTTTAAACCAATGGTAAATAAATTAGTTAGCAAAGTCTGGCCAACAAACTTAAAGTCTAATTTTAGCCACATAAAACACTTTAATTAACTCCATCGTCCGCTTATCATCACGAAGAGGAATCGATGGACAAAACGAACAAACGATGACTCGGTCAAACCACCATCTTCGATTAATCCCGTATTCACCCCTGCTAGCCCGGATCAGTCCCAGTACATTTCGGTGACTAACCGATTCAACATGGTACAAAAGATGTGCACGAATCGAGAAGTGTCCGATCCGACAAGCTGGGTCCAACATATTAATTTATATTAGCAACCGGTGATTCCGCGGATAGTCACACGGCTTCTCCCAGAGCATATCTTCTATTGTCGAAGGGATAATTGCCGTTCAGCTCGGGAGGAGTTGGTGATTCGCCTTGCAGCGCTGGCTTCACGCCACCATGCAAGCCTCCGGAGTTCACTTTGCGACATCAAATTTATCTGTTAAGGGACCATCATGAAACGTCTTAGCGAGGTTTTTTTTTTTTCTCACCAGAGGTTTATTCTACAGAGATAAGTTCACACCGCGCAAACGGATATACGGCGCCGTCAACGGAGGCCACTTATTGCGGCTACAGCTGACGCTTTTGGGATATAGTCGGAGTGCGGAGAGTGCTAGAGGCGCTAATGGTATCTAAAGGTTATATGGGGGGGGGGGGGGCTTTATCTAGATTTGTGCCTGGAAGGTATGTGATCCGTCGCCACCTCGGCATCTGGAATCGGATTAGACGATCGATCATGGACCACACCCACATGTCAAGCGAAGAATGGCTTCAAGGCGGCCTTTTCATTGGTGGTTTTCCTTGGATACCCCTGGACGGCGAACTTTCTCCCATGCGCGCAGAAAACGCTGGTCAAGATATCTTCTCTCCGACGCTATTTTTCTTCACAGTGTAGCGAAGGATGAGACGATAGTCAATTTGGAGCACACCATCGTTGAGACATGTTCCACGCCATAACCCGACCAACGCAAAAATACATCAAAAGTTGGACGGGTACTTACTTAATGCCTGTCTCTATGAAAACGAAGAAACATGGCCATTCTCATAGGGAAGAGACACATATGCAGTATCTGTTTGGCCAGTATATACCGGGACCAGTCATATGCAACACCCTTGGAAGTCTGCCAGATCCATCATTGGATCCCTCCCCTGCATGCAAGCAAGGATTTTGATACAGAGCCTTCCAGCCCACTTTCCCATCTAGATCTTCTGGGTCAGAATGGGTGGGAACGTGCACAATTTTATCTCCATATTTTGGGGCAGTCCAGCTACTTCCAACAACTGCCTCTGCCCCTGGCATCTCGCTGACTGACTGATTGGAAGACCCGCTCGCCTCTTGCCGAGTACGAGAACAATTTGGTTTCTCAAGTTTTCCCTTGATAGTCCGGTCTTGTCAAGGGCAAGGATCTGAATATTAATATATAAAGAAAGCATGGCACTCTCGGACTACTATACTATGCTCATTGACCCTGCTCCAGGCCATCAGCCCGCTGTTAACTGTCACTCGTTTAGATGATTATACCAGACACTCTTTATTAACGTCCGTTTCATACTCCTGCTACCTTTCCTTTCATCTGGGTGTTCTTTTGTTATATTTTATATCTATATAAAAATTTCTCCCTATTTTACATCCCTCATCATGTTAATGCGGTTATACACGTTCTTCGCTGCGGCACTGCTTGCCTGTTGCGCTGCAGCCGGGCCATTGCATCCCGAATTACCGCAGCTTGTGGGAAAGTCATGGATCCCGGACTGGTGGTTCCCCTTTCCCAGGCCGTCCACTAGGGCTGCGACTACAACAACTACACCAGCGACATCGACGACCGGACTAGCAACCACTACGACAAAGCCTACAACTACGTCGTCAAAGCCGGTTACTCCAACTCCCCAGCCAGCAACTTCAACAGCCCAACCTGCTATCTCATCGACTGCGAATGCTACTGCTACTGCCACTGCCTCCTCAGCCTCAACCTCCACCACATCCTCTTCTACCTCTGCCTCTACCTCCACCTCGGCTGCCGCCCCGTCTACCCCCACTACCGTTGTACCGTTTGGTCAAGTCATCCGGAGTTGCACTGTGAAGGGCACTGTTGCAATCACTTTTGACGACGGTCCCTATGACTATACCAACAAGCTATTGGATATCTTTGACGCAAATGGGGCCAAGGCAACACTCTTTGTTAATGCTCAGAACTTTGGGTCTATTACAGACTATAGCTCCGTGATGCTCCGAGCCTTTAACACCGGCCATCAGATTGCTTCCCATACGTGAGTGATTTTTTGTCCAATTGCCGGTTTGTACAAACTACTAACCGAGTCATAGCTACGACCACGCCGATCTATCCACCCTTAATGGCGCCGGCATCATATCCGAAATGACAAAGCTCGATGACGTTCTTGCTACTATTACTAATGGATACCGCCCGACTTATATGCGCGTGCCCTACTTTGCATATAGCCCCTTGGTCTTGCAGACCATGGCCGACCTTAAGTATCATGTTATCGAAGCTGATATTGACACCAAGGATTATGAGCATGATACTCCTGACGGAGTTAGTGTCAGCGTTGGCTTTTTTAGGGATGGTCTAAACGCAGGTGGTAGCATTGCGCTGGCTCATGACGTACATCAAACTACTGTTGATCTCCTGATCCAGCAACTCCTGGACGAGGTGAAACGGAGAGGCCTGAAAGGTATATTTATATCCAGTTATTATTTCTAACCTTCTATTTATCCCATCACATTTTGGATCCAACATGCTAACATTCTTGGTATTAGCTGTCACTGTTGGAGAATGCTTGGGGGATCCACGAGCCAACTGGTACCGAACCACCCCCGTGCAGGTACCCACGGGCACTTCAACCACAAGCCCGACGGCCACTCCCACCAGTCCAGGGACTCCTCCGCCCGCGCCCACGCAGCCCGGCGTGGCCTCAAACTGTCAGAAGTGGCACACTGTAGTTAGCGGCGATACCTGCTACGACATCGCCGCGGCCAACGGTATTTCGTTGGATAACCTGTATAAATGGAACCCGGCTGTTGGCACGAGCTGTGCAAGCCTTTGGCTTGGCTACGCAGTGTGCGTTGGCGTTTAATGGAAGACTCAAGTTATACCCTGCTGGCTCCTCCCCTTTTAATTCTAATGTCTAGAAACCTAGATGGTTTGTAATACTGTTGATGATTATCTACTTTCACATATTGAAAATAGTTTTTGATATGAGCTGGGATATTAACGTTTCAAGGCCGCCTGTTTTAGCTAACCCAACAATACATAAATGTATGGAGTACATTGCGCACCTGAAATCAATACCAGAACACCGTACACCTGGGATTCAATGACACCATAGTAGAAAAGAAGGGGGAGACGAAGTAGCAGATAGTAATAATAACAGTAATAATAATAATAATAAATAATGATAATGATGATACAGTTTGAGCAGAGGAGAGAAGGAGGTCTGAATCAAGTTAACATGCTCTTCTCCTGCTGGGCCCACCGGGAGGTCTCAGCACGCAATATCAGGTCCTCATAGATAGTCCAGGCTAAAGCAGAGCTAATGGCCTTCCGCCCAATACGCAGGCTCAGCCCGCCAAACAGGCCCCTGACGCCTTCACCACGTAAAACCAGCCGTGCAGCATGCCACATGTTGCGGTACTTGGAGGGCATCAGCTGCACGCGGGTCTTGAGAACATCAAACGGGTTGGTGATAGTTGTTGCCAAGCCTGCCGCAAGTGCGCCAGAGAGGAAGTGAACATAAGCTGCGGATGGCATCGATGAGACGGCTTCCTTTTCCAGCTCACCTTTGCTACTTCGAGACGGGGACGATAGAAGGGCGGACAGGGACCGTTTAGACTGTTCGTAGAACACGACATAGAGACCGGCGTACGGCGCATCGCGAATGGCGGTTGCTCCAAACCCGGAAAACAATCCTCTGACGCCCTCTGTCCGAACAATGTCCTTACCAGCCCCCCAGAGGCTCCGATACGAGTAGTAATCGGACTCGTACCGCACCTTCAGCACGGTGACGGGCATCATGACGAACCCAGCCGATACTCGCGCCACAGCTCCAGTCAGCAGGTTTGCTGAGTGTGACAGTTTAGGCAGAGCCGAAGTCCGCGGCGAGGAAGAAGAAGAATTGGTGGTACTGCTGCCATCGTCTCCCTTGGTATGTAGCTTGACTATGGCCACCGACTGCCGTAGTGTATTAAGAGAGCTGAAGTAGAGGGCCGATCCGAACCCGGTTCTGAGGGCTGACGGGAGTGTTCCACGCCATAGGTTCCGGACGGGATTGGGCGAGGCCAGAATTGCGCGGACGGTGGGCAGGAGAGAGGTAGGCTGGCCGGACTGCTGAACCCGGGTTTTGAGCAGGTCCGCCGGCTGCAGGAGGATGGAAGATGTGAGACCTGAGAAGAGGCCGGCGGCGAAATGGAAGACCGGTTTGGTAGCTGCTTGCGTCCGCACATCAAGTTAGTCCGTGCTTATACCTGCAGACGATGGGGATGTGATGTGTGTTTGGTGTCCCGGCCGGCCTTACTGGTGGTGGTGGTGGTGGTACTCTTCAGCGCATCAGACCTGGATCCATTAGACATCCTTTACACGCCCTCCGGGAGAAGGCCGGCGACAGAGGACTGGCTACTAGTAGAGCAATAGAGCAGCAGAAGGAGAGGAATAGAAGGAATTGGAGCTGTTTGGTTATCGAGCTGTGCTGCCGGCTTGCATGACGCTGTGTGTGTGTGTGTGCTGCGTGAGAGAGACGGTCAACTGCGGCCCATGGTGGTCGGTCGGGTCAGAATCTCATGGCTCACGGCATTGCAGGGCCTCTGCTGGACTGGGAATCCGTCTATTCGTCTGCTGTCACGGCCTCAGCGGTGTCAGTCACCAGTTGATGCGCGGTAAGTAAGAAGTAAGGTGTGTTAACTAGTTAGTTAGTTGAGAATTCGCGAACTTGACGTCGAACAGCAAAGTAAAAAAAGCTGTGGATAGATAAAAAAAAAAAAAAGAGCCGAAAGATCCGCCACCAAGCAACGGCACCCAATGCAAAAAAGTGCGTTGGATCTGCCTGCGATGGATGGAACAAGCGAGGCCGCAGATGGAATGCTTGAATGTGATGGATTCCAGCAGTTTTTATGCATGAGACGAGTCAGCAATGGCTGCTGTAGGCACGGCCACGGCGACGATTTGCCGGGCGCGGATGGATGCAAAATCCGGCCTGTGGAAGAGCGCCTGCATGGCGGCCGGAAGGGCTGACGATGGCCTTTGAATGCTTATAATGCTTTCATGCGTGTCGGCGACGGCCTCTTGCTGATGATGCGAGTGCTGATACTGGGTGTGTCTGCACTTAAGCTACATATCTAGCAGCAGCAGCAACACCTACATCTACATCTACATCTACATCTACATCTACATCTACACAGCAGTGATCCAGGGACAGGCAGACGGACGGCAGACAGGCATCGCCCCCATCTCTGGCACTGTCATCGCCGGCCTCATCATCCTCGCTGTCGCCCCGCCGGCAGCTCCTTGCTGGTCGAGACGCTGACTTGGCGCCGTTGCCAGGCCAGCGAGCAAGCGACGGGCAGACATGGATCGAGACGCAGGACGGGGACGGGACTGTCAGTCACTCTGCGCTGACCGTCGACCGCTTCTCTGCTCGCCTGCAGCTCTCGTCTTCTCTTCCTCCTCCCACCGTCCCCATCGCATGGCCGGCCTCTCGACGACGGCCTGACCTCTCGATCTCGACCGCAACCCCAGACACCCCTTGTGCGAGCCAGGTAAACAACAACAACAACAAGAACAACAACAACAACACCTGCAGCTGCAGCAGCAACACCACAGGCTAACAAGAGCCAGCAGAAGGGCCTCATGAATTATTAGGCCGGATATAAACAAGCCATGATGCTGACGCAGGCAAACCTCCTGCTGCTCGTTGTCCTCCCGGCCCTCGCAGCAGAGTCGGCGCCCTTCCATGCCCCCGCAGCCCGCAGCAATCTCGACAGCTCGCTCTCCCTCTTCGGCTTCGGCTTCACTCCCAGGCTCGCCCGGCTCGTCAAACGGGAAGATCTCTGCCCGTTGCACTTCAATTCCTGCGCCTTCTTGGGCAGCCCGCAGGCCTGCTGCCAGCCCGAGTCGATCTGCTCCCGCGATGCTGCAAACCACATCGCCTGCTGCCCCCTCGGCGCAGAATGCACCGGCACCCTGATGGACACCACCTCGACTGCAGCACCCTCGCAGACGCCAGGCCCGGCCCCAGCACCAGCACCTACATCGACCTCATCGGGCTTTATGTTCCCGCAGCCAGGCACCACGGCTGCCCCGACGCCCACGGGCTCGACGGTGCCGGGAGCTCCCTTCCCGTTCGTCTATATTCCCACGACGTTCCATGACTCGGCAGAGTGCGTACGCTCTTACTCTGGCTGTCAGTCACAGTTCTCGGTTTGCACAGCTTCCCTCGGCGGCGCGTACGGAGTCACTATCAACGGAGGGAACGGCGCCGGAGTCACCGTGCAGGGCGCCGCTCCCACAGGCAACGGACAGGCCATTTGCTCCAGCCTCCTGCTGCGGGCCTGCTTCGGCCTCCAGGAGGGTTACTGTACCGCCTTTGCAAACGGCGGAGGTACTCCCAACGGCTCGCCACAACCACCTCACAGACAGTCGGCCCTATACGAGATTCTTATGGGATTGTCAATCGCCATCGCCGGGATGATTGCTTGATCTCTCTCTCTCTCTCTCTCTCTCTCTCGTGTTGTGGTTTCTGCCCGTCAGTGTGACCATTTATCTACTGAAACCTAACGCTTGTGCTCATTGATTTACGAGTCCTTCCCCCTTGATGTATCCTGGGCGCAAAACTGGATGGAAATGAATGTTTATATGCTTTTCAACTGTTTTTTGGACGGATTTCTTCCCTCTTCTTCTTGCTCGTGTAGCAGCAGTACATATTATATACTTATAGCCCCTTTTTTCCCTAGCCAAAAATGACGAGCTAATATCTGGATATCCCTATTCCGCCCCATGTTTCCTAACCGCATATACTTATGTACCTTCTCTACTCCGTATGCAACGGCTGTGCCTTGGCTGGTTCGATGCTAGAGTCCGATGTCTCTCATTCCCACTCTGTCTGTGGGTCCTTTGTTAGAGCCGCAACATCCAACCAAACGAGTTGATTATTGGCAGCTAAAATAGGGGTACTGGACGGCCATTGTAGCATGGTTTAGCCAAGTGTTTAACAGGGAATAAGTTGATGCATTTTGCGTTCACATGTAGCCAGTCGAGAAAGCTCTTTGGCCGTCGCAGTGAGCTGGCCAGCAGAAGACTCTCTTAGCCGACCGCTCCATCTGTGCTCCCTTTGTCCCGCCGCAGCCTCTCTTCTCAACCCCCTTTTTTTAACCTCGTTGCTCTCTGGTCATCCAGCAGCCTTCCCTGCACACTTACGGTAGTTATCAGAAAATAGCTACCAGCTCGCACTTCGCAGCTCCCAGCGATGCGTTTCCAGCTCCTTATCCCTCTGGCCTCAGCCCTTATAGCCGCCGCCCAGGTCGACGATCGCTTGCCGCCCTGGTGCAGCCTCGCTACAAACGTGGGCGGCGCTACATGCGAGGCATTTGCTCATTACAACCATCTCTCTGTTGACCTGTTCGAGGAACTGAATCCCGACGTTGAATGTCCTGACCTGGAAGAAGGGAGGTTCTACTGCATCGATGATTTATACGAGCCAGAGCCAGAGCCTGACAACAACGACGACGATGAGCACCATCTTTCTACGTCCATGACAGACTTTGCTACCGCCACTAAACCTCCCACGCCCGCAGACTTTACTACCATTATTACCGAACATCCTACGGCCAATATAACGACTTCAATCCCAACGGCTAATTTAACATCTCGGCCTGCAACCACAGCCAGGGGGCCGACCGCCGTGACCACAATGATGACGCCAGCGGTTGCCTCTTCCACGCGGACAACTCCCAACTCCGCTCCCAAGCCAGAAGCCCTGGTACAAGCTGCGGCTACGTATAGCTGGCTTACCGTGTCCGCCTTTATAAGTTACCATCTTTGCAGGCGCATCATGCTGTAACTATGCCGTTCAGTGTTTCTCAGCCGTCTTGTTATTCTACGCCCCAAGGATACCCCTAATATAATAAAATAAATATTTAATGTGTCGAAAAAAGACTTTTCGAAGATCAGCGGAAGAGCCGCACCTTAAACTATAGTTAAATGACTGCTTCCCCTGAAATCTTATTGCATCTAAAAGCCAAGCGCTCGTATTGGCCCGCCTCTCATCCTCACCTCTGCAAGTACATTTGGAGTAGGCTTGGTTGCAGCTATCGATGGTTTATACAAGTAATAGAACGAGACATCTGTCTCCATGATTAGTAGAGGATATTATAGGAGGTACGACTTGATGAAAGGAGAGTACCCTCGTCTGGCGGAATATCACGGCCAAGCACGGGGCCTACTCCAGTAACTAGTTAAAGCCTCTCTTATTGCTTTGTTCGTCTGGGAAAGTTACACTGAAAATATATGCGAGCCATAGGAGTTGCCCCGTGGAGAGCAGAAACATATCAAACACACCGGGGTTTATATGAACGTGGCCCGACGATATAGGCTTGCTCCTTATGCGATGCTGATATCCCATCCACACCGGTACAAATCCATCGGAGCCACGGTTTTCCCAAGGTCAAATAGTGAGTAGGAAATCATACAAATAGATCATCATCTAGATATTGTCGCATTCCCCGTGGTAGCGTTGTTCGGTTAGGGCCCGATTTCCTGACCATGGGATCGAGCCCAGAAGCTTACCCGATGTCGAAGTGCTTTCATCAGACCCTGGACCAAGGCTATTCGACTGCACTTGCGTTTGCCCCAAACGGTGCAGGTAGTCAGAGACGGTACCAGATGGCAATGGCCCCATGCTATTAGGTTAACGGAATCTCAACTTTGCCATATATGTCTTGCAACAGAAAATTGCAGTACAGCAGAAGGAGATATAATCCATTCTTTCCGGCTCGTGATGTCTGAAGTTCAATTCGAAACCGAGATGAGGCCAAAAATATTAATACAAGGCATCAGATTATGTATTTTAGGAGTTCCTGTCCTAGGAATCATAGTAAATTCAAGTATATTTATGGCAGCTTCTGGACCCTGAAGTCCTACAAGCGAGGTGCTTAGCTTCTCGAAGGGCCTTAAAGTGAAATAATCGTGCTATGGTCATATAATTGAGAGACAGCGTCCAGTCACGGTGTGGCATTCACTGCTTGACACCAACTGCTTTTTCACGGCTCTAAGGAAGACGCAGGCTTGGAGCCTCGAGCTGGAAGTAGAATTCACCGAGGACAGCCTGAGAAATGTTCCTATTGTAGTGTCGGTGGCCATATGCAGAATCCAGTTTGATCGGAAGTGCCAGTGTATACATGAGGGCAGATCTCTTCCTTGACCTGCTTGTAAGATAGGGAGGAGCAGTTGGGTAGAGGGTATTTGGTTCCAAGGTGAAGACGTCCCACGCAGGTATACGAGAAAATTGGAGTTAACAGAGGAACAGGGCCTGACACTTAGTATAGATTAATTGTCTATACTATTTGTTTAGATACCCTTTGACAAGGCCTCTTCTTGCCAGCCTTTTATGAGCGATGGGTAGAGCAAGGAGTTTACCTAGAACTACTTGATTATCCGGGAGAGAATGTAGTTATATGGCCGCAAAGATGGAGGACGCGACAATTCCCATCGACAGGAGGACCTGAGAGTGCTCTCTTCTTCTGCCTTCTCTTCCTCCTCCTCCTCTTCTCTTCCCTTTCATGCCCTTCGCATTCTGTGTCAACGTCGGCTATAAAAAATTATACGTTGTCACGTGACTTATGTCGGCAAAACGCATAGACAACGACGACGAGATGAAAATAGACAAAAAACATCATCAGCGGCGATGATTGCAAGAAAGCAGCCGAGCTGAAGCGGCGAGAAGAGTCGGTCTGAGGCTGCGGAGTATAATGGGCCGAAAAGAACAGCCCAGGACACGACATCACTGTCGCTGGCTGGTATGTTGAGTGGCTGCTAACTATTCCGGACGCTGGGAATAACTCATGCCTATGACGACCGCTGCAACCACCAACAGCGACGAGCGTCTTCGCGGCCCTGCGGACGCAGTTCAGGCGCCTGGGACACCTACCGTCTTCCAAACTGACCCCCTGCAAAGAAGCCACGAAACCAGGAGAGCTCCCTGGCCTGGGGCGGGACCAGGATGCAGCCGAATAGCATAATTCGGGTGGTTGGGCGTGGCTGGGATGCCCGCAAAAGAAGATGGCTGGCAGAGCGGCGGCCCATCTACAAAGACCAACCAGCAAGCCTCAAGTCTTCTCCAGCTTGATGTCTTTTCTTCTTTCTCTCTCACCTTTGTTCGCTCATTCATTGATACTCACATATCATATAGCAATCGCTCTCCTCCTTCTCCGGAGCTGCCAGCCACCTAGACGCCTGACAGGCAGCTTTGCGAGAATACCTTGATTGTTTACCCCAAAGCCGTCCCCGCTTGAGGCTCTCGCTGGCAGCACAGTTACCAGCCTGCAGAAGCAGAAACGAAGTATACCAGCAGCGCCGGCGATGTTGGCACAGACTATGTGCAGAGCTTCGGCGCCCATTCTCGCTCTCTTTCTACAACTCCGGCTCGTCGCAGGGTCGCCCTTCTCTACTCCTTCGCCGACCAACTCGCTGGCGGCCCGAGAGTGTAGCCCATGCGGCTACTACGGACAGGCCTGCTGCACCTCTGGTGAAGAATGCGTAACGGACTCGAATAATCAAGCCCTGTGTCAGCCCAAGAAGGCAGGCAACACTCAATGGGAATACTTCACCACGACCTACGTCCAAACTGACTTTGTCACGGTCACCTCTACCGGCAGTCGACCCATCTCCCAGCCGACAGGCCAGCCACAATGCAAGGCCGAATTAGGAGAGACGGAATGCGGCAGCCGTTGCTGTTCGGCTGCTCAATCATGCAACAAGGATCTCGTATGTGTTCAAGCAGGCGGCTCGCCGTTCCCTACAGCTGAACCAGCTCCCACTCCTCCAACTCGACCTACTAGCACCAAGGGCGTCACAATCACTACTATTCCAGCTACCACTACTGTCCCATTCATTCCCGCCGTGGGCACTGATGGCAGCAGCGTTATCGGTATCACCAAGGGCAGCGGTGGCCTGAGTGGCGGAGCCATTGCCGGTATCGTCATCGGATCTATTGCTGGTGCACTGATACTCATCTTCATCTGCATTTGCTGCTGCGTGGGAAGCTGTGTCGACCGGGTGCGGGCCATCTTTGGCCTCGGCGGCCGCAGACCAGCCAGACACTCAAATTACACCGGGTCATCGTCCTACTCTTCTCACCACGGCTGGTTTGGCGGCGGTGGATCAAGAGTCAGCTCAGAGAAGAGCAAGAAGAAGACCGGCCTCATGGGATTGGCCAGCTTGGGTGTCGTCATCGGCGCTATTGCTCTCTGTCTCGGTCTCCGTCGAAAAAAAGACGACAAGTCAACCACCTACTACACCGGCTCGTCCTATACCTACACCTCGAGTAGCAGCAGCAGCAGCAGTTCTTCCGGCCGGCGGACAGAGCGGCCTTGACGAGCTATTAATATCTTTTTACTTTCCTTCGCCCCGACTCCTGAATTAATGTTTCTCACGCGATCTCGATGTCCATGTCCATGTCCGTTACGCGAATATTTTATGGGTGCACGTCTGGCTTCTTCCTTCCCGTTTTTCTTCTGTGGATATGGCTGGGGTTATGTTAAAATCTGGTGTTTCTGGTACATAACAGGAGACGGACTCCTAGTCAGTTCTCGTTAAGTTGGTTGTTGATTAAACGATGTATATGCCTCCTCTTCTTTTCCTCCGTTCATGTCTTAATATCATATGTATGGCTCCGTACGAGAAACTTTTATAGTGAATAAAACGTCTTAGTCATCAAATCAGCGAATCCCCACCCGCCTTTTCTTCCTCGCAACCTCCAACCTCAACTTCGGCTTCCAACTTCTCCCTCTTGAGGACGCACGTCTTTGCTCTCTGATTTCGCATAGCTATCGCACGCCCGGCAGTTATTCACTTGTGCCTAGATTTACACCCTGCTTGAAGCCCTGTTCCAGGAAGATTCACCTTTGGGGAAGTTCCCTAGAGTGAATCCCTTGATCCCCGTCTCTCGCCATGCTGCAGAGTCAAGCTCCGCACGTCTTCTCGCACCAGCACCAATATCCCCAGGCCGACTCCTCATGGGCCCAACAGCATCAGCAACACCAGCAACATCAGCAGCAGCAGCACCAGTCTCATTTCCAATCGCAACAGCCACAGCAGCACCCGTCTCTCGCCGCGCAGCAACATGCCCAGGCCCAGGCTCAGGCCGCTGCCGCTGCCGCAGCTGCCCAACACCAGCAGCAGCAGCAACAGCACTATAGCCGTATCGGTATGACCGGTGGTGTCAATAGCAGCTCACAGACTCCTGGCGGTCAGGACAACGGCAGCGGAATCGCAGGAAACATTGATAGCGGCGTGAGCGAGGAAAACAGGAAGGTTCTCGTCTGGGTTGCCGAGCTGCTGGACCCCAACCGGAGAGAGTCGGCACTCATGGAACTGAGTAAGAAGCGAGAACAGGTGCCGGAACTGGCACTTATTATCTGGCATTCATTTGGTAGGGAATACTCCTTCATCCGTTCCCCCCCCCGAGTACACTAGTAATGTGCGATATATTACATGCTAACGTACTTTCAAGGAGTCATGACATCTCTTCTGCAAGAGATTATCTCTGTTTACCCACTACTGAACCCGTCTCAACTGACTGCTGCTGCTTCGAATCGAGTATGCAATGCCCTAGCCCTGCTACAATGTGTGGCATCCCATAACGAGACCCGAACCCTATTTCTAAATGGTATATATGCGCTTTCCACCAACAGAGTCAAAGATAATTAAGGCGACTAATACTATTGTCTAGCTCATATACCGTTATTCCTCTACCCCTTTTTAAACACAACCTCCAAGTCTCGTCCGTTTGAATACCTCCGTCTCACCTCACTCGGCGTTATCGGCGCCCTGGTCAAAAATGACTCGTCTGATGTCATCAACTTCCTCCTAACTACCGAAATCATTCCTTTATGTCTTCGAATAATGGAGACTGGGTCAGAGCTTAGCAAGACTGTGGCCATATTCATCGTTCAAAAGATTCTACTCGATGACATTGGTTTAGCCTATATTTGTGCGACATATGAACGATTCTATGCTGTTGGGACAGTTCTTAGCAACATGGTCACCCAGCTTGTGGAGCAGCAAACTGTTCGGCTACTTAAACATGTCGTCCGCTGCTTCTTACGGTAAGCTTTCGTAGACCTCCGGTAAAGACACCCGCTAACAATCTGATATTAGACTTAGCGACAATAACCGTGCCCGTGAAGCACTTCGTCAATGCTTACCAGAGCCCCTTCGCGATGCTACTTTCTCGTCTGTTCTTCGCGATGATGCTGCTACTAAACGGTGCCTTGCCCAGCTCCTTATAAACCTGTCTGATAACGTCGTCGATGGCTCCAATGCTGGTTCCGGAATGTGAGCCTTCGCGAACCAGCAATGTGAAGGAAAAAAACAAAAAAAACTCACCGATCAATCCGATTAATGCCGGATATACACTAAATAGGGCCCTCGTCTAATCGCCTAATCATGCCATTCCTCGAAGCCCCAGACCAAATGAGCAAAGGAGGAATGAAAAGAATTCAATACTGGGAAATGATGAAAAGGAGAAAGGAAAAAAAAGGAAAAGAAAAGATTAATAGGTACCATACCATTTTTTACCTCGGGCTTTGTTTCATCATAAAATTCCTTTCTTATTTCTTGTCACTGTTTTTATATGACTTCTCAACCTCATCCTCTTTCCCCTCTTTCCCTGCCTACATACCCCATACCCTACCTCTCCCGGTCCGCTTCCGTGCCCACAAATTTCTTGTTATCTACTTGGATATCCTCCTGAGGACACACTGCTTCTACTTCTTTTTTCATATTTTTTTTCTCACCCCCCCCCCCCCTTCTGGTTGTTTTTGGCGCGCGAGTGTTGTGGAAAGGTAAAAAGGGGCGGCGGAAACTCCGGTGTGCGGCGATCATTCAATGAGGGTATTTGTATCTATTACTTACCTCTCCCTCCTCCTCTGTGTTTTCCCCCATGTTCACGATGTTGTCCTTTCTGGTCATTGGAGCGAGGCAAGGTCGGGATATGTGTTTTTTTATCTCTCCCTTTCTCTTTTCATGTAAGCCCATTTTTTGTCTTCACACTGTCACGATACCATGGATTAGAAGAGCATGACCCCCCATCCCCCTTTTCGTATTTGATTTCACCCACTTGAAACCTTGTTTGTTCGCATGATTGTTATCTTCAACTCGCCCCATGAGCGCAACACCCAAGCAGCAGGCCATTGTCATCATCCACTGTATTATTTACCCTGCTTCACTGTGCATCCTTACCGTTACCCGCCATCCCCTGGATATCCCTGTCTCTGTCATCACTATACTAGAGCCTCCTGGTCTACACGGTTACCTACCCTACCCCCTTGATACTCATTGTCACCATCTTTGCCTTTGTCGTCTTCTTCATGTTACGTCATCATTACATAAGCATCACGTGTTAAACGCGTCTTTTTCTTCTTTTTCGCCGCAAAATCAAGGATCGGCTTTTTTTTATTCTGAGACGCTCGCGACAGTTTTTCTATTGCAAGTTTCGACTCTTCGCCTTCTACATCTTCGCAGTATCTCCTGTTGTATCTTTAGACACGTCCGTCCTCCTATGATAATAGAGAAACAGTTAAAAGGCCCTGGCGTGACGTGAGATCCGCTGTTTGTTCGATCCCAGCACTAACTAGTGACATCCATATTACGACGAAGCCCAGACACCCCGGATCGTATCGCATCGCATACTCCATCGCGACTTGCAGAGTGAACCGGACGCACACCGCCGACACAGAGCCCACCATGGTGTCGCGTAAGCGTGCCAGAGAGGAAACCGAGGCTCAAAGCGCCCCTGAGCCCCAGGAACATGGCCTCCTTCATCAGCTGCGGAACATGTGGGAGTTTCCAAACCTGATGCAGTACATATATACATTTGGCAAGCCGATGAAACTTGATGATGATATCGATATAGAGGTATGCATGGCTTTTGAGTAGCTCTGTACCATGGACAGATAGCGTAAACCGTTGCTCCATTGTTACTCAATAGGGGAGTCCGTTGTCTACCAGGGACAAAAAAAGTACAACCAAGCTCGATATGTTAATCAGTATTGCTTTATAGGAACTCGAGACGGAGTGCCTTAAACCTGGGCACTCGGAGAGACTGCTCAACATCGGTCTGAATCTCCTCAAATTCGTTTCCTCCCACCGTGGTCTCAAGTACGAAACCTACCCGAACGCTCTCCGCCTCTCACTTACTAACCTGATAATCTCTCCTTAGTTACGATAA